CAGCCGGGAGTTGGGGACCTAGTCATCTATTCTGTGTAGCACAGACACTTTGATTTCACATGGTTTGTTAAGGACCCTCAATCATGGACACACTTAGAACTCTGGAGTCTGGTATGTAATCATCACAAAGCAAGTCAAAATACCTTGCAATACATAGGAGTTTAAAAATTGCTACTGGCTGATATATCAGTTTTAGAATTTTCCTGTTATTATTTTCTCTATCCTTTAATCTTAGCAAAAAACTCTAAGGAACAGGTGACAATGATAGTAGACCATGAGTAAACAAGCACAACTCACTTAACAATCAAACATGTGGCCAACAGAAAGAGTTCTACAACTAAAAACCAGGTATCAGTATGTAAAATAAGGCAAAAAATCAGAACTTAATTAAAATTAAATTTAACGAGGTAAGCCTTTTCTTCTAGTTATTTAGGGAAGGGAGAAGGAAATTTCTCTTCAAAATGGAAAACAATGCCCGAAACCATGGTAACTTTTTTCTTTTTTGATACAGGGTCACTCAGTGCTGTTCAAGGAACCCTTTGTTCTGCTTCTGCCTCCAGAGTGCTGGGATGCGGGCCTCACCACACTGGGCACTGACAGAAAGCACTTTACTGCTTTCATGTTCTAGTGATGAAGCTCATGAGGCCCTTCGCAGTGATTGTTCTTTTGGAAAGTGTCTATGCACTTCAACACCCCTAAAGTTATGCCTTTTACAACTTCACCTCTTTAAAGATTTAGCTCAATTTTGCCTCCTTTTATTTGCCAATCAAAAATATTAAATCGAATACAATGTCCCCTAGCCTAACAGCCCGTGGGACACAGGAAGGCTTCAGATGACACATGCATGCATGTCCAGGAGATGGAGCACCTGGACCAATTTTAAAAGCACTTTTCAGAACAGCACTAAAGCAGATTTTGTCACACACACAGTTTGCTGTGAGGAGTTCATCTTTGGATAGGTCTATCTTCTACTTATTTAACCTTCTCTAACTGATAACAATCTCTGTGCCAGGCAACTTCAAAGGGAGTCATGTAATCTGAAAGGCACTATACAGTCTAAAGTCTGGTGACTCAAAGTAAGGCTTGTTATTGCTTCAACTCATGCCAGCTACCTGCATAAAGAACTAACAGTGATAAATTAAAGGGAAACTATGCCGAGCCTTTTGAGGCCATGGAATATCCTTGTAACAAAACTAGGCTGGAAATGAAAGACAGGTGGGCATAATGATGGTAGGTCCTATGACTTGGGTCCTAATGAGGCTTCTTATGGCAGGGGAGCTTCCAGGGGAGAAGGATTTCCAGTTATGGGCCTGTACATCTGCTAACTGTGTACTGTTTTCCAGCTGACAGACCCCAGGGGACATGGATGTACTCTTGTGTACCGGGAACCACTGACTATAACAGTATTTTCTAACATACTAAAACTACTGCATTAGAAGAGCAAGCGCCTTCTCTCTTAAGACTAGCTACTTCCCCTCAAGTTGAGATATAATAAATTTTGATCGGTAAGTGGTATTGTTATGGTTATGTACCTTATGTATGGTATATATACTTTACAGTATATCTATGTGGGGAACTAGACTTAACCTATTTCTCTGTGGTTCAACCTCTCAATTTTATGTTATTCTATTATCTTTAGAAATAATTAACCAGCATCATAGACCAAACCAGATGCCACCAAATGCAGCACAAATGAAACAAGTCTCTATATGCTTTCCTCATTTCTCATTTTCCCATTCTAGCTCTTCAGATATATACATGTTCTGATTTATTATGGTAGTGTATTCTATATGTTTAGCCCTTGAGAAATCAAGTGGTGGTACAGGCTTGTTATGAAAAGCAGTTCTCACAGTCCTACTTTCTACTTTCTGCATCTCAGAAGCAACAAGTTCTAATGCTTTCCTGCCCCTGCCTCCACCCCGACTTTTATCACTACCTTAGGTTGCTTAATTCTTCATTTTCTTCTAGAGGGTATTCTGTACTGATTTCCCAGATATAAGATATAAGAATGAGAATTAGCTCTCCTGGCCACTGCCAGTTTGTCCCTCTTTCTCTAAGTACATGTATTATTTGCACATGCTAGTTCCTCAATAGTTTCAGCATAAATTGGTCTAGATTAACAGATAATAGGCTTACATTATAAAGTTTATATACACCCTGGCATTGGGAAACACCGAGAATAAGAGAAATAGGGACTGGGGACAAGATATATCCTTCAAAGCTGCATGTTCATTTATTTATTTCCTACAACCAAGTCCCATTTCCTAATAGTCCATTCAGCTATGAACATATAAGGATTGATTCACTGATGAGGTTAGCACTCTCCCAGTCAAATAACCTCTCCTGGAGCCTTCAAGCTCTGTATCATTAAGGGACATTTCAGACTTAAATCATAATAAAAGTATAGTTGGGTGGGGCATGAATTCATACAAGAACACTCAAGGTAATGGTCTACTGTGTGGCTTTTGGTATTGCTATAGATTAATCTGTGCCTCTCTGGTTCTTGATCTTTGGTTGGAAATCTTCCTTTTCACACAGTACTGTAAGTCCCGAAGATTTCTTGTATTCTCTCTTGTGAATTTCTTAGTTCTGAATATAAATGTAAAAAGTGTTTCTTGTATTTGTAGGACATTCAATCTCAAGATTCATATTTAAAATAGTAGAAACACACCTTGACTTGTATGTATGTATAGCCATAGGACAACCCAGGGTGTCATGTGTTCCGGTCCCTCTGTGTTTCTTGAGATGTGGTCTCTTGCTGGCTTGTTGGGCCCTCAAGGGAGGACATCCTTGTTGACTCTGGGGATGGGACTCATGTCCTCATGGTTTCAGAACAAGCCCCGTATCCATCAAGGCCTTTCAAGCCCTTTAAACTGTATTTACTGTTATCCCCCTCTCCTTTACTGCTGCCATTCTTCCTGGATACACATCTTTAGATGTTCTACCTCCTGGAGTAGCTAAGCTATTCTTTTTCTTATCTTCTGCTTCAATCTCATTTTAGATTTTGTTTTCTGGGAGATATTTCTTCAACTTTTTTTCCAATTCTTTTGCTAAGTTTTAAAGTTTGGATACTACATTTTCATATTTTGTTTCTAGCAGCTGCCCTCATTTCTGTGTTCTGTGAAAGAATTGCAGTCAGTCTTTCACAGCTCCAGGTTCTGTATCTATGCATTTGATCAACTGTCACTTGAAAATATTTTTTTTAAAAGTATGTGCACTGAACATGCATGAACTTTTAGCTTACTATTTCTTCAACAGCATTTAATTTACATAGCATTCACAATGATATAGAGGTGATTTAATTTATATTCGAAAATGTACATACCCCCAATACTATATGATTCTATCTAGAGGTTTTGACATTTACAGACTTCAGAACTAGGAATGGGTCTTAGATTCAACTTTCTGAAGTTGTCTTGCTAAGAATAGTTTTATTTTCTTATTTTCTTTTAGTTGTCTTTTTCTATTTTGTCTTTCATCACCTCATTGCATGATTCTTGGTTGTGTTGACCACAGAAGAGCTACAAGGAAGCACTGTGTTTAGATGGTCCCTATTGACAGCTGGGCCCACTGTCACGGTGTCTGGTTGCGTCTTTGGAGAACTCCTGAAGGCAGAGTGTTTGTGGTGTGTGTGTGCCCATGTGCATACATTGGGAACTCAGTGGAGGAGCACGAGGTGGGAGCTCCTCCATTTACTATCTGAACGCAATTATCATTCCCGGTCCACAGCACAGCCCCACATGGACTGTGTCTGACTTCTCTTTGTCTAGAGATATTACTTTATATTTTTCAGAGAACTAAAGTTCCAGTTTTCTGTTAGGCAGAGAAAAGAAATCTAGTTCTATGCACCATGCTTCCTGCCAGAACAGTAATGAGTGAACCTTTGCATCTGTAAGCCAGCTCCAATGAAACGTTCTCCTGTCCAAGAGTTTCCATGGTCATGCATCTCTTCACAGCAATGGAACACTAACTAAGACAGCAACTATTAATGAAAAGACAGGCCATGAACTTGAAAGAGAGCAGGGATGATCTGGTGGGGGAAAATGGAATGGGGGGTGATTCAGTTATAATCTCATAAAAATCAGATCAGGACGAGATTATTAAAGGAGTCCATAGACTTCATATAACTTCAAGGATTATTGAAGACACCACAATAGAGGGGCTGAGTGCTGGCTCAGTGGTCAAGAGCACTGGCTCTTGCAGAGGACTCAGGTTCTGTTCCCAGTGCCTACACAGAGGCTCAAGATTAGCTGTAATCCTAGTTCCAGGGAACCTGAGAGGCCTCTCTTTGTGGGCGCCAGGCACATACACAGTGATCATACATGCAATGCAAGCAAAAACTGAAACACATAGAATAAAAATGAATACATCTTTAAAACCAACCAAACAAAACCCTCACCATAATAGAAATGTAGTTAATATAGTTTTTAACATCAAAAGGGAAACTTGTATTTTTCTGGTACTACTTTAACATGCAGAGATGATCTTGTATTGTTTCACCAGTGTCATGGCCTCTCATCAACAACACATACTTTATTACATTTACAAGGATGGTGACACAGAACTGTACAACCGGTGACGATGGCTGAGGGCAGAAGGAGCCTTTCCATCCTGGCATAGTGCTTCCTTTTCTTTGTAGGTGTGATTTAGTAGTGTGCATCTGGTTCTAACTCTAGCTCAGGCCTGCGTCCTGCACAACAGAGCCTGTAATGACCAGTGCTGAGCTGTGTCTTGAAATATGGCAACTTTAATAAAAAGATAAATGAAGGACTTGGAAAATATTCCATTTACTTTGAACGGATGTTTCTGTTTTCCTCAGGTAAAAAAGATCTCGGTCTTAAAATATTGCTAAATGATAATAATAACACTAACATACTTTTGAAGAAATAGTGAGTTCTAGTCAGTAAAAGTTTCATTGAGCTTTGTAAGGCTGGGCATGAGAGGCGCTCTCCTCTAGGGAAAAGTGACAGACTGAAAACAAGCTGTCCTCCAACACTTACAGACTCCTTTCTGCCCATAGTCTTGCTGTGTGAGCGGGACCGGGCGATGCTGCTGAAGAAGGAGTCCCTTTTAGTAGCAGATGAAGGCGGGGAGCCCGTGGATTCTCTTCCCCCAGGCAAACTCTCGATGCTTGGAGATGAACTGATGGTTTTCGAATTTTGCCCTGTAAGAAAATTAAGTAGCAATAATTAAATACCAGATCATCACTAAGCCACTGACTATAACTCACTTTAATAAATCATGATTAGCTATGAAGTCACTTTCTCACAATGTTAACATAAAGATGCTATTTTTAAAACAACGAAGTACCAGTATAGTTTTCTATATGTAATGTATGCTACATAGTCCATGCATGTTTTAGGAAAGCCTAAAAAGATTCTAATTTTCTGTGATGAAGGGTTAATTTTAAGTAGCTGAATTTTCTTTCAGCAGCAGGATGAGTAATTAAGAGAGGAAGCAGAAGCTACTATACTATATATGAATACAATTCAAAGCTGTAATTCTTTCAGCAAGAGTTTTCAAAGAGCTTCTTTCTTTTCCGTAAGTGTGGAGAGCTACCGGCACTCCCCCAAGCCTATCACGGAATCCTGAAGTGGGCTAGTGTGCTGTTTCATAGTGCCTTTCACTGGGTCTGTGCCCTGATGAGTGACGGCATCAGGGACGCTCAGCATTAAGTACATGATTAACAGATGCTCCTCCAGACGGCAAGCTTCTCTCCTGGATGACTAGGTACAAAAGGTTATAGCTACTGAGTTATAGTTGGACTAGCAGTTATCTACCTGAGTCTTCTCTGCTCCTGATCTTAGAATAGCCATTTTCCTCTGCAGCTTCCGCTGTATTAGATACCAGGGATACACAGTGGGTGTGGCCTGGAGGGAAAGGGTGAATGACAAGCCAAGAGGAGTAACGATGCTCCCCTTTCCAGATTATTTGTGATCTGCTCAGTGTTTGCACAGAATGCATGCTCTTCCTGAGGTGGTTCCCATGCAGCGCCTGGCAGCAGGGACTCCCTGTTTGTACCCAGAGGTCCTCTCGTAGGGAACTTCTGTTGGTCTGTGTTCTGCTTTGACACTGCCCCTCTGCCCAATCCTGGTCCTTCTGCATCACAGTTTTCCCATAAGCCTTTTTTTGTTTCTAAGTCCACCTCAACAACTGAGTCTGTGATGAGCAATACTGTAATTTCAAGTTTAGTACAAAGTCCTCTGAGCTAGAAAAGGGCAGAGAAAACAGGCTCTCTTAGCCCTAGAAGCATCTTGTACTGACTTTAGGCCTAAAACAGAACATTTTACGCTACTTCACCCTGGCCTTTCCTCCCCTTTGCTTCCATGTCTCCTACCCACTTCCAGGGCTTTAGGGCTTAATTTCACTGGGTTATTTGTTTATGGTAAAACCCCATAGACTACGATATATCTGGATGGAAAAAGATTCAGGGAACCACCTATTAATTTTATTTTAAAAATCATATCCAACAACATCTAGAAACATTCTTAGTGTATCAGACTAAATGTGAAAGCTACCTTCTAAGAAATAATTTTATTTATGTTATGACATATAAGCATATGCTCATATGTCATATGCTTATATGTCATAACATAATGCATTTTAAACTGTACAATTCAGTGTTTTTTAAGTATCATCAGCAATTTAAAAACAATTACATAACCCCAAACTGAAATCTTATGTTATTAGCAGCTTTCCCTAATCCCACCAACATCCTTGGAAATTATGAAATATGTGGCCTTTTGTGACCACTGTGTTTTCAAGGCTGGTTTATGCTGCAGTAGTTATTGGTATGTCATTCTTTAAAGTGCCAAATAATGTTTCAGACCACATATGGGTTAACACTAGTCATCTCATTAACAGTTTATATTCATTTCTTGGCTGTTAGGCAGAATGATGCTGTGAACATGTATAGAGACGTTTCCAGTTCTTTCAGTTAGTTACCAAAAGGTCACACTTTGTGGCGGGCTCCTTCCCTCCTCTCCCTTATCTTCCCACCTTGCCAGAGTCAAAGTTCCCCTATTTGGCCCAGGCTGTCCTTAGATTCACTACGTAGCCCAGTCTAGCCTTAAACCTATGATTCAGAACGATAGTATTCCAAGTCTGTGCCACCATGCAGGGAATCATGGCGTTGGCCTGGTCTACCTTGTCTCCAGAGGCTTTTCAGGTTAGAGTTCATGGCTCCTGTGTACTTTTCAGTTCCTGAGAAATGGGGACACTCCCTCAGGCAGTGAAACATTCAGGCCACATTATGATTGTCTATAGTCCCTAGAAGTCAAGGAAGCATCTACAAGTTTGATAGGACAATTAGTCTTAGACATTCCTACTGGGTGCCCTTTATAGCTGGCAGATGTCATTATATCCTGAGAACTACCATTATGATAATCTCGACAGCCTCCACTATAGTCTATTTCTGACAAGGGTATTAAAAGTTTGATTATGTGCAATAAATGTGTCATAGTGTCATAGCCATAGTCTTGCTGTGACCCTTCCAAGTTGTACATGGTCGAGATTCATTTCTCACTGGCCATATCAGTTAACCTTGGCATAGGAAGTGCTGGTACTTACACCACCACACTTGCCTCACAAAACTTATCCTAAAACTAGTACACTGTTTTATACTTCTGTTAGCATTGTATCAAATTTCCAATTTTTCTACATCCTTATCAGCACTTAGCAGCGGTCTTTTTATTGAATTTCTCACTGGGTCAGAAGCAGTATCTTATTCTGACCAGGGTAACTCTTTAAGGTACATCTTCTTTGGAGAACTATTTCTCAAATTGTTTACATTCTTTAGAAATTGAAGTATATGCTTTTATACTGTTGGGCTCTTTCCATTGTCTGGCCACATGCCCTTTACCAGATGATTTGAAAGCATTTTTACTTCTGGGTATTGTTTTTACCTTCTGTATGTTGTCATTTGAAACTCAAGTTACTAATTGTTTGAAATTTCATCTACCTAGTTTTCTTTTATCTGTGCACAAATCTAAGAAACCAGTACCTAGAGGCCACAATGATTTTCTTTGGTGCATGGAAGTTTAGTACATTTTCTTTCTTTTGTGAGACAGGATCTCATTTGGCCCAGGCTGGCCTTGAACTTGGTCTATAGGCAAGGAAGACATTGAACTTTTGATCCTCCTGCTTCCTGTTATGGTACTGTTTTAGTAACAATTTTATTGCTGTGAACAGATATCATGACAAAGGCAACTCTTAAAAGCACAACATTTAATTGGGGCTGGCTTACAGGTTCAGAGGTTCAATCCATTATCATCAAGGTGGGAACATGGCAGCATCCAGGCAGGCATGCTGCAGAAGGAGCTGAGAGTTCTATATCTTCATCTGACAGCTGCTAGCAGAATACTGACTTCCAGGCAGCTAGGATGAGGGTCGTAAAGCCCACACCCACAGTGACACACCTACTCCAACAAGGGCACACCTTCTACAGTGCCACTACTTGGGACCAGCAAATACAAACTACTACAGGCACTATGTCAGTTATTTGGTGCTGGGATCAAAAGAATAATTTTGTGCAGAAAGGCAAGAGGTCTTTCAGCTGAACTATATCTCAGCACTATTGATAGTTGGTACCATGCATCTATCTGTGAAACTCTGAGTTTAAGCTACTTGCGGTTACCTGATCTATTTTAATGTACAGATGAGTGTTTTTCATAAAATTACAGAATATTCTGTCATTTCACTCTGCCTTTCACTCTCTCCCTTGTTTTCTGGGTTCCCACTGTGTGTACATTGTTATTATTAATGGTGCCCTATATGGTTTTGACTTCCATTCATGTATCTTCACATCCGCCAAGTGGATACTTTCAATTGACACATATTCTGAGAACCTATTCTGTCAGCACAAATCTAATGTTGAACTTCAGAAGTAAAAATTTCTCTCTAGTTGTATTTTTCAACTCCTATATCTAAATTCTTCAAAACCATCTTATTTATGATGTTCTCCCTGGTGATACACTGTTTCCATTCATTTTGTCCGCACAGTAGTTGAGAGCATCTTTATAGTAGTAAGGTCTTTTTCTTGCAAGTCTAATGTCAGACAGCCCACTGACTGCTTTTACACAGGAATGAGCCATATTTTCCTGCTTTATGTTCTACATGCCTAACAATTTCTATTGACAATTACATACAATATAAAGTGGCTACTCTGGAAATCAGACTCCATCCATTCTACCTCCTGAATCCACTTATCTTGCTATTGGTTGTATTAGTGACTTTATTCAAATAATTCTAAAGTCCATTTCCATTTTGTGTGGTCATTAAAGCCTTTGCTTGGTTACTTTAGTAGTCTATAAATAGACACAATTTTCTTTTCTTAAATGTATTGAGTCAGTATCTAGCCTTTGCCAGGGTTCTGTGGGTGTTGGGATGCACTGTGACTATCCCAGCAGGCGGTTTATAACTGTTGTAGCCTTCATTCCTGTTCATGCAGAGGCTTAAGTTCATCCGGAGATGAGAGTCTATGTACGTGTCAACCCTTTCCTGGACAGGAACCCAACGCTGCTCATACTGTGGCCTTCCAGAATATGCTGGAACTTTTGAGAGCCCATTGTTGACATCCTATTCATAACCTTAAGTCGTTTTTGGATTTAGACCTCTGATCTTCTTGTTAATCTTTCAGCCGGCATCTATCTTTCTAACTGGTACTGTAGCCTTGGGCAGTTGGAGTGTTTAAGGATTGTGTGTAGAGTAGGATCTAGAGATAAGACACATTTTAGAAGCTGGGAACAGTCACTGGTTGACAGCAGGCAAGGGCCTTTTATCCTATAGTTACAGGAGTTGGATTCTGCCACTACTGCGGATCCACAAGGAGCCAGACTCTCCCGGAGCTTCTGACCCCAGGGATTTCTCCCAGTGAGACCTGTGCCAGACTTCTTACCTGTGTACTCACCAGATTATACAGTACACAGATTAGTACACAGGAATTCTAAATCACTAGATCTGTAGTAATTCTTTGTCATCAGAAGAAAACTTTGTCCAAAGTTTCAACTTACAGAGTTATCTGTTATAATTAGATAAACAACCCAACTCACCTTCTGTATCTTTAGTTCTACAATTCTTATTTTGTATATTCTAAAAATTTTCTTTTACTCATACATGATCAGATTTATTGAACACAGAATTACTTCACTGTTTTAAAAGATTTAT